TTTCAAAATGTCACTGTATTGCAAAAGAAAGTCATATTGCTGTGTTAGTGACAGGCTGGGCCTTTGTCATATATCTCCTGGAGAGGTATTTGAATAGTAACCAATTTTCTCTCTCTTTTAAAGCAAATCTAGCAGAGCCGTTAGTGCATCTTCTCCAAGAAGGGCCGTTCATAAAAAAAACAACAAGGTAAATAGACAAATTTACAATGAAAGGAAATGATATTTTCTACTTAAAATGTCTTTAGAGAAATCAGTCAAGAATTTTTTTCTCATTTATTTGTTGAGAAAATCCATAGTTTGCATCCTTATGTACTACATGTGTTTAAATATTAGCCCTCTAGTAGATATTAACTGGCTTTTTAAAGCAAAGTTTAGAGAAACAAGTACAAAATATATTAATCTCAGAATTATTATCTGCAAGTTTTTGTTTGTGTTGTCCCCTTCAGGCGAAAGTCAGCAGCCTCAGCATACAGATGGCCTTGTGCTGCCAGATCTGTGTACGTGCCTTGACCCCCACCCCCTTATCTTTGGCTTTAGGAGATCCCAAAGGGACTTTAGTTAATCCTCAAATCCCTCTTTTCCCTTTGATATTTAGTACTAAATATGCAAATGGAAGAATAGGTATTCACTTGCTGGCAAAGGTTAAAATGTGATGGTTTTATTAATGAATAAAGAAAGCATTTATTAAGTAGGATAGTATTTATAGTTAAAGCGAAGGTTAATCATTTATTAACTTGAAGGACACCCTCTCCATCACAGAGAAATATCAGTAAGGGAGAAGCTGCAATACACCCTTCCTAGCAGCACTTCATAAGTAGCTACAAAACTCAGCTTGCTCCCTCTGATCCAGCAGTGGCCCAAAGGTGGCCCTTCCCTGGGGAAGATATCCATGACCTTAACTGACACCCTATTAAAGGTTGACCTGATGCTTGTGTCACTGCCTCATTTTACTCTCTACTCCTCATGCTATACTGTGTTGATTATTCTAAAAGGATTCAGAAAGAGTTCAAAAATTCTTCTACTAAAAACAAGTAAACTATTATGCAGCTGACAAGCTCCTTAGTGTATTGACAAACACAAATACCCAGGTAAAAATATATGTAGAATTGCTCTGGGGCAAGTTACTCAACCACACTGGGAAATAGGGACAATTATAGTATTTACACAGATTGTTGATAGGATTTAAATGAGGATTAAGGAGCTACAGCTCTGCACAGCACTCAGCACTTAGTAGGTTACTCAATAAACACAAAACACGAAAAATATTGTGTAGGAAAGGTACCCTTTGGACTAAATAATTTTCAGTGGGACAGAGGGAATGGTATCCACATCCATGGCAGCCCTGATAGATGCAGTTTGGTCACCTGTAATCTCTGTAGCTCCCATCTTGCAAAATAAGAGATTCTCTTTATTTTGCAGTTATCTCAGAATATTAACTAGAATATATGGCCCATGAGAGCAGGCTCTGTGTCTGCCTTCCTCATTCTCATGTCACTAGGACTAGCACGAAGTAGGCACTCAAGAAATATTTGTCAGATGAATACCTGAGTGGAGAGCCCAGTATGAAAATATTCCCTGAAGTATGACAACTTACATTAAAAAACATTAAGTGGTTCAGTGTCTTGGGTATGTGGGTGGGGTATAAGCTGAGGTGTGGTCCCAGGGTCGGGGACTCATGTAGGCCTTAAAGAGCACCCATTCAACTCAGAGACCTCTTGCTGTCACTGTAGAGGGCCTGTGGGAGGCAGAAAGGGTGAGTCAGATCTCTTCTAAGGAACTGCATTGTAGCCAGGGAAGATTGGAAGAAAATACAAAGAACAGTTGTACGTGGATGTCATCAGTGCTGCAGAGGCTCAGAGTGTCAGGAGGTTTATGAGAGTTGAGCCTTAAAGGAGGAGTAAGCTTTGGCTAGACAGCGATGAAATTGAAGGAGAAGTTACAGATGGAATGGCATAAATGAAAGTCTGGTGGCTGGAAATGGCTTCCTTGAAGGATTAGGTGGGAGTTGTTTAGGGAAGATAGTGGAAGATAGGGCTGAAAATAAAGAAGCCATGAAGGCCTTTTGAATAACAGCAATATCTAAGTTGTATAGTTTCCTTTCTGTAAAAACAGACAGTAAAAAGGAGGCAGCATAGCATTGCGGTTAAGAGCATAGATTCTGGAGCCAAGTTTTGGGGGGTTCAAATTCCTGGCTGTGTGATTTATTAGCTGTGTGATCTTGAGAAAGAAACTTAGCCTTCCTGTGTCTCATTTTCCCTATTTTTAAAATGGGGTTGATAAAGGTACTTGCTTCATAGGGTTGTAGAGGATTATTGTGAGGATTAAATAAATTGATATATGTAAAACATTTGCATGGCACATAGTAAGTGCTACATAATAGTTGTTATTAATGTGTTCAAACTCAGTATTTTAGCGAATCTCATTTCAGGCTTGTCCAGGGAGCTCAATAAAATACAGATAACTAAAGTGCTTGTTCCCTCTGTGCTGACCTGCTAAGAGATCTGAGCTCTTCCTGTGAGGTTGACTTTTACTTCCATGCTACCACCCATCTCCTAGGTGTCCTCTGTTCCTTGGGGACTCTGTGGGTCATTGAAATGCTTGTGTGTGAGTGGGGAGTGGTATTCTGGAGTAGGGTGGGGGTCTTGTTAATGAGCAAATTGATGCTGTGGGCAGTTAGTGGGTCTTACCAGATGGTAAGAAGCCTGACTGGGCCCTGCCTTTACTTCCACACGGCTCCCAATGCTGGCCAAGATGGTGTTCATTCTGGAGGAAGATTGAAGTCTCCTGATGTAGCTCTCATTCAATCAGTAGGGTTCCTCTTTTTTCCTTCTCTTTCTCCACCTCCAAGAGGTAGGTGGGCCATTCTGGCTATACGTAGGACTCAGGATGAGATAGGAAGCTCCCCAGGATTCAAATAAGAATTCACTGACTATTTGGAGGAGGAGAGGGAAAAGGAAAGAATGAAGATGGCTGGGCATGGTGGCTCACGCTTGTAATCCTAACACTTTGGGAGGCCAGAGTGGGTGGATCACTTGAGCCCAGGAGTTCAAGACTAGCCTGGACAACACAGTGAGACCCCATCTCTACAAAAAATTAAAAAATTAACTGGGTTTGATGGCTGTAGTTGCAGTTACTAGGGAGGCTGAGGTGGGAGGATCGCTTGAGCCCAGGTGGTAGAGGCTGCAGTGAGGCAAAATTATGCCATTGCACTCCAGCTTTGGTGACAGAGCAAGACCCTATCTAAGAAAAAAAAATGAACATGGGTAAATACTTTTTATTGTCCTACCTCTTACAGGTTCCCAGTCCCTACTCTCCCCCAAATAAAACCTATTGAATAAGAATTTTACATTTAGGGCATTTAGGGTTTTCTCAAGCACCGTAGCAATTCTATGCACACCTTAATTTGAGAGACATTACACTGTTTATTGGATATACCTAATAACTCTGAAAAGTAAGCAGGTATTATTTTATTATTCCTATTTTATTGATAAGGAAAATGAGGATCAATGACATTTAGATAACTTGAAGACTCAACTGTAAGTCTGACTCCAGGTCTTAGGCCATTTCTCTATATTCGGCCAAAGGATTTTGAGGAAAAGCATGGAGACTTAAAATAATTCAGTAGCTGTGAGGGTAGATTGAAGGGGAAAGCACTTACCCTGAGACTAGTCCTATTTAATTCCAGTCAATTCAACAAATTTCATTGAGTTTCTCCTCTGCGCAGTACACTATTAAGATGTCCTCAGAACAGTTTCTGTGAGACCTCAGAACAGTATAAGCCATTGACTTCTTGGTCATCACAACAGCTTCCAGCTGTACTTATGGATGGCTCAGTTACAATAGCCCTAAGGGATAGTGTACTTGGTAAAAATGGTATAGTGAATCCTACACCCCTACCCTATACTACATGGAAGAACATTTGCTTTAGTCAGATAGCTAGCCCAATAAATTAAACCAAGAACGAATTTGAAATTATTATCACCTTATTGTACCCAATAAATTAAACCAAGAACCAATTAAAAACTATTACCACTTTATTCTAATACCCTAATAACCAAAAGCATGACTCTATCCTATATCCCCAGAAGGCAGCAGGCATAGTACTCCTTATTGCATTTATAGGAAACTCATATTTAAGTAGCACCTCATTTAAGTGGGCAGAAAACTCCTATCTCTTCAGCCAGATTCCCCAGCAATTGCAGAGCTGTCATTCTGTAGCTCTTGGCTTCCCCATATGCAAGTTTGTATGCCAATATGTGTCAGTCCTAAAGTTTTGTCTCATTCACATACTGGAGACTATAATTTACTAATTTTCATGTCTCCTATAGTGTTGTACATAATGCTGCTCAATAAATATTGTAGAATGAATATGAGAATAAATAAGACACAGGCCCAGAGATATCTGTATATAGAGGTGAAAAATTGAATACTGGTGTTATAATTTTAAAAAGCGTTTAGTGGGATTTCATTCTATAAAAACCTTTTTCATCATTTGTCATGATACCTGAAATCATTTCATTGGAATTCATCTCTTCATGTCTCAAAGATCTTTTGATTTTCAAAAGTATCCTACTCAAAGAGATGGACATCTGTGGTCTGACAACATCTCGCCTCAGGTCCCCCTTTCTCATAAAACTGCAAAGATAAGTGCCCAATGACTGGTAAAGATCATTGTCTGCAGGATGTCTGGGAAAAGGGAGATTGCTGTAGCTTGGAATTTCAAGGAAAGGGAGGTACTTGAGATAGACTTTGAAAGAATGTTGTTTTCAGAGAGGCAGGGAGGAGGAAAGAGATGTAAATTGAGGCAAGCACTCAAACTATCCCAAGACAGCAGCAAATACCCGTGCTGGGAGCAATTCTCCAGGCTCCCTTCTCACAGTTAGAGTTACTAATTTATCACTGCTCATTACTGAACCTTTTTATAGGTTTATCTTTCAGGAAAAAGACGGGCGTGTCCTAATTGGGTTTTCCAGACCTTGGTTATAACTCTGATTGCTGTGATGGCATTTTGGTAAGAAAAACTTCACTGTTATGCCATGTCAAGCTCTTTTGTTCCTTCCCATGTTTCTTTTATCACATATGAACTGGGGACTTGCCTGTTTACTTTGAAGACAAGAAGCCCTTTAAACTAGGCCCTGAACTTTGATAGCGTAGAAATGAGGGAACCCTTTTTGAAAACTCTTATTTTGAAGAAAAAAGCACAGGCTTTCTGCCTTAAATATGACATGATTTTTTTTCAATTAACTGCTATGTTTAGCAACAAACTGTGCCTTTCATATGTGTGTGTGTGTGTGTGTGTATGTGTATCTTTCTTAGCTTTGCAAATTCTGTTTTCTTTTCTGTTGACCTTGGAGAAAGAAGTAAATAGGAAATCAAGTATAATCCACTCTCCCTTGGTCACTCATATTTATGGTAACTCTCCTGGATTCTTCAGTGAAGACTTTTCACCAAAGGGACACCAAGCTATACCATGTGATGGAATTGTAGCCAAATCTACTAAGCAGTTAAATCGAGCAAATACAGTGAGGACAGCAGTATTTGCTATGCAAATTGGGCAATTTTTGATGCCATCCCTCCTCTGCAGCCCGCAAAGGCAGGCCTTTGCTAGGATGCAGGGCCCTTTCTCAGGTCTCTAGGCTTCTGCTGCTATGATTCCCCTCCCCCACCACACTGGGCCTTTGAGACCTGGTCATCTTGCTGTGTTCTCTTGCCTGTCTTCTCTGGGCCTTTGAGTGCACCTGGTTTTTTCTTAGTCGGACTATTCACATGGTGAAAGGATATTTATCTGTCACTCAAAAAATGCTTTGTTAGCCTGGGAAAGGACTGGCTTCTGGGGCCTGTCTTAGGGGAGACAATTATTCTCAGGGGCAAAGCAAGCTGTGGTCTCAAAGTGCTTCCAGTTGCTTGACCTAAAGCCGCATCCCAGCTACAGAAGATAGTGTAGTTTTATCAGTGCCCTTCTTGTTCCTTAGTGTTTTCGCTTGTGACTTGCTACTGCCCACTGGAGGGAGACACCCAAGTATTTGACACCACTACCTAGAATTCCCATTAGAAGCCTTCGCACTTTTCTTATTCTCCCAGGTGTGCTTGTCTTCTCCTGCTGGGATTCCCAACTCAGGAAGAGTGTGAACCTCTATCTTAGTGGACATACTTAGCATTCTCTGGAGACACAGATTCCCCAGTCCGGTAGAAAAGTTATAAGAAGTCTAATTGTAAGGTAAAGAGCCTGCTTTTTAAACATACTTATTAGATCTTATTATTTCCAATATTGTTTACCACTAAGACTGCAGATGGTAGGTGTTAGGCTTACTATCTTGCTTCTGGCATGTGGTACACCTGAGTAGGATCAAAACCAGGGTTTGCCTCCAAAGAATGGAAAAGATGTCCAAAGATGTCCTAGAAGTTTTCTGGGCTTTGTGTTGAGGCAGATGCTGGACACAAATCATAAAGAGTATTTTAGAATTGGAATGGGGAGATGGAGCGTGGGAGAGGTAGGAGAACAAAGAAGGGGAGACTGTGACACAGGATTTTTCTCAGCCTTTTTGCTGGACTCACAGCAGCAGTGCCCCATCTACTTGGCTCGCTGTGCTGCTGAGTGGGAGCACATGAGAGAGTGAGTGCAGGTTTGGTCGGCCACTCCAGGTGCTGATACAGGAGCAAGCTCCATGCAAGGCCCGTAGCCAGTCCAGGCATGTCACCCCAAGGGGAATGTGGCAGTGCCCTGGTAAGAGTTCCTGGGACCCCGAAACCCCAGAGCGGGTGTTAGTGTGCTAATTAGTGCTTTTAGCTCTGCCATCTGCAGCCCAATGCACAGCAGAGTGTTAGCAGTTTAGTTGACCCCTGGCTTTGTCACATGGGGCAGCTGCCCACCACTGGTGAGGGCAAAGGGTCAATGATACAGCCTTTCTTGGTACCCATGCTCGGTGAGTCCCAAGCTCTTGTCCAGTGTCTAAGAAGAATGAGGTCATGCTGATGATTGAAGGGTGATGAAAGCAGATAATTTTATTGAGCAAAGAAAACAGCTCTCAGCAAAGAGGGGAGCTGAAAAGGGGATGGAAAGTTCAGGTCATCTTCCCCAAAATCAAGTTGTCTCTTCCCTGAAGTCAGGTCATCTCTTCCCCAAAGTCAGGTTATCTCTGTCTCTACTGACTGAGTCTGGGGTTTTTATAGGCACAGGATAGGGGCAGGGCAGGCCATAGGTATTATTGGAAAAGGCAGCATTCGATTGGTTAAAAGGTATTATTCAGAAAGACCCACTTGGGAGAGAGTGGGAAAACAGGAATAGAAGTTCTCACTCTGGGCTGTGGGTTTCAGGCTGTTTTTGGCTTTAAGGTGGAGTTTCACTGGGGACCCAATCCTGTCTGCCTAGGATTTCTCTGCCTCCTGCCTCTATTAACTGGACCACAGCAAACAGTTGCCACGATGACACTATAAATTCTATCTGACAGCATCTTTGGGGTTCAGCAACACTTTTCCCAGGCAGAGCTGTGGCTGCTGGCCAGTAACCAGCTGCTGCTGAGAACACTTTGGGAATTTGTTCTTTATGAGCACATATGGCACAGTTTTCTTGTGTATCGTAATAATGGTAAATCCAGCACCTTTGATAGGAAGCAAAATAATGAGGAGTCAAGTTTGGAAAACTGGGTGTGAAGTCAAGCTGGCAAGAAGTCAAGTCAGGTAACTCTTTCAAGCCTAGCACAAAATGGAGCTGTAAAGCCATCAGCAGACTTTCTGTGTGACTTGTGAGAGGGTTCTAAAGATGTCTCCCAAAGAGGAGAACACGAAGTATTTGGATGCATGAGGATTGTTGGGAATAGCTTCCCAAGGTTCGGAACTCTTAAGAAAAGCTTCCATTTGTTTATATAAGTTCCGGTCATGGGGGAGAAGACATCCTCATTGTTTTGAAGTCTCACAGTGTGGAAACAAATACTTTCTTGCAGTTCTTTTCCTTCCTCTGACCTATTCAGTGTATTGTGCTCTGAAAAGACAGGCAGCCGGAAGGAAGATGTCAGAGAAGCAGCCAGAGGGTTTGGCCTCCACAGCTGACTAGACCTGTGCTGCCTTCCATCTCCCGATGCGACAGTGCCGATGCCCTCCACCAGTGGGATGCAAACTGGGCTCTGACTCTTTCCTGCAAGGAGCAGTTGCCTCCAGCCACTTACATGCTTCCTCTTGTAATCTTTCAGTAGTGACAGGCGCCTCTGAGACAGCTTGCCAGGGCTGGGGGGCTGCTCTGTGGAAAAAATCCATCAGCATGGAGTGTCCCAGGAGCCTCTGCGCTCCAGGAAGCTGAGGGCTTTTTCTCTCCAGGGCAGAAAAGCATAACTGTGCTGGTTTCCATGGTGTTTCTGTCAGCCGAGGCCACCCCCTCCCCCCTGCTCCCATCTGTGTGGCCTGTGAGAGTACATCTCTGGCCAGCTGGATGTGTGAGATATATCTGGAAACAAATCTGCCACATAATGCTTTTTTTTTTTTTTTGACAGTGCTTTGACGATAGTCGCCCTTTATATACTTAGCTTAAAAGATCAAGACCGACGTGTCCCAAATCTCCCTCCAAGGTGAGAGTTCAGTTCAATTTTCTGGCCTAAAATTCCTTTGGAGAGAAGGATTTTTGCAGGCCTCGTTCATTAATCATTTCATTCTTTTTCTCCGGCAATACCACAAGCTCTCAGGAGCCGGCTCTGCTGTCCACAGCCTCCTCCTCAGGTAAAGGCTTCACATTCCTCACCCTCAAACCTGGTTTCAAGTGAACTGTCAACAGAAGAAACCAGCGTTTCAGGTTAACCTTCTTGCTTCCCCTCCCCACTGCCCAATGCCTTGCAGCACCTAATACATCCCTGGCAACCACACCGGCCTCCTTACAAGTACCTGAAATTACTTTCTGTGAAATCCTGCCATGTCAGGAGACTTATTGCTGCCCCATCTGGGGAATGAAAGAAGTCTTTTCAAGTCCTGTGCAAAGACAATCTGAAGACAAGGAATTCCATCAGAGGCAATGGTCAGGTAAATGATGTTCGAAGAGAAACAACTAGAGCTTTGAACTTGAGGTTGTTTTTCTTGTCACAGTTTACTTAGATGATCATTAATGGTTCCAGATAATGGTTCCATGCTTCTATTTGGGGTGGCAAAATCTTTAAAACACAAATACACAAACTGTCAATCATCTGTAATATTCAGTTCCTTGCCCAGGAATGAAATTTTGGTTGATTCAAGTACTTGTAATTCTCACCAAGTGAAAGGTTCTCATTTGTCCATTGCCAACAAGGATAGTAATAGTAGCACAAGTGAAGTAATTACATGCACGTGGGTGGATTTTTTTTTTGGCTCATTTAGAATTTTAAAAATGATGTGGTATCTGGGCTCTCTGCCCAAACCAACTAGGGCAAAACGTAAGAGACTTTGGAAACTCTAATTTAGAGTTCAGGGTGAGATTTAAGGCAGTGAAAAACACAAGGTTGGCATTCCACTTTCAGAATAACTTTTTCCTCTTCCTCCTAGGGACACACACATACATACACACATACCAATGTTTTTCAAGTAACAGAATTTTCATGGTAAAAAAAAGTATAGAAACTTAATCAAGGACTGCAAGTGTAATCATATCCATAAGATTATATACAAGTCTTCCAAATGTATACTAATTTATTACTGTTTTTAAAAATTTATTCTATATACACATATTAATAGAGTAATATTAATGATGATGCTAATAAGGATACATATTACTGTGGCTTATTGATTAGGATGCTGTCATAACAATAACTCTCAAATAACAGTGGATTCTTATGGCAAAAATTTAATTCTGACTCACTCTATATATTAAATGTGAATCAAAAGAGGGTTCTTGGTCATCATGTCATTTAAAGTCTAGCTGATGAAGATTCCATCACAATAATTATTTCCACAGTCTCCATAGTAGTGGTAAAAGAACAAGGCAAATTATGTACTGGCTCTTAAAGCTTCCACCTAGGTATAACACATGTTACCTCTGCTTATACTTTATTGGCCAAAGCAGGTCACGTCACATTGGTCATGTCTAATTTTAAAACGGATGGGGAAGAACAGACCTAACATGTATGGAGAAGATGAACCAGAATACTTATAAGTGGTGCTAATGACCGACGTAGAATATGGGCAGTGGTTGAAATGTTGGGGTGCAATGTCATTTCCTTTCCCTTTTGACATTATTGCATATCCTAGTCTTGGTTAAATAACTTACAAGTTGTCATCATCATCATCATGATTATCATGTTGTAATGAAGTATTACTCTATGCAAAGTACTGTCATAAGTAGTTTACATGAGTAAATCATTTAATCTTCACAAGCCTACAAGAGAGGTGCCATTATGATCCCAATTTTTTTCCAGTGAGGAAGCTGAGACACAGAGTTCTTTCACTACAGCAATAGGAAGCATTGAGCTTTTCTCATGAAAACTATTTTTGATTGAACTTAGGAGCAGATGCATCCCTATAGAGTAAAACTAAAGCTTCATTTTAAATAAAGGAATTCATTTCAGTCATCTTATTCTCAATATTTTTAAATATGAAAAAATCTAGAACTACCACAGAAATCCCCAAGGCTTTTATCCCTTGTGAAAGCACATGGAACCTTGTGGCTGGTAAACACTTTTCTTACTTTGGGAGCCCATGCTGGAGACACTTGAAGTTCTTTTCTGAAAGCAGTCCTCGGAAGAGACCATCTCACCTATGAGAGATGTACTAATAACAGATACTGAATAGGAAGAGGTCGTAGACTGGTCCACTCTTCATTTTCAAGGGTTTCTTGACCGCTGAACAAGTTCATTTCTGAAGTAACCAGCTGTTCACATCAAGGGAATATAGTCATGTGCCACATGTTTCAGTCAACAACGGACCATATGTATACTAGTGGCCCCATAAGATAATAATTGAGCTGAAAAATTCTTATTGCCTGGTGACGTCTTGATGATCCTGACCCTGTATAGGCCAGGCTAATGTGTGTATTTGTACTTTAGTTTCTAATGAAAAAGTTTAAAAGTAAAAGAAAAATTTAATAGAAAAAGCTTATAAAATAAAATTATGAAGAAAGAAAATATCTTTGTACAATTGTACAATGCGTTTGCGTTTTAAGCTAAGTGTTATTGCAAGAGTCAAAAAGTTTCTTAAAATGTAGAAGTTTATAAAGTAAAAAAATTGCAGTAAGCTAAGGTTAATTATTTATTGAAGAAAGAAAATTTAAAAAATAAATTTAGTATAGCCTAAATGTATGGTGTTTATAAAGTCTACAGTAGTATCCCAGGCCTTCAGATTCACTCACCAGTCACTCACTAATTGACTCAGAGCAACTTCTAGCCCTGCAAGCCCCATTCATGGTAAATTCCCTGTACAGGTGGACTAGTTTTTGTCTTTTATACTTTATTTTTTACTGTACCCTTTCTACGTTTAGATATATTCAGATACACAAATACTTACCATTGTGTTACAATTGCCTACAGTATTTACAGTATAATGCTGTACAGGTTTGCAGCCAAGAAGCAATATAGCCTAGGTGTGTAGTAGGCTGTACAGTCTAGGTTTGTAAAGTACACTTTGTGATGTTTGTACAACAATGAAATTGCCTAATGACGTATCTCACATATTCATGTAGTTAAGCAATGCATGACTGTATTGGGAGGAACAGCCCTTTTTAAACCAGATCAAGGCTTTTTGCTCTCTGTGACAATGCAGAATTTTCATGTTAAAAAAATTATAGGAACTCAGTCAAGGGCTACAAGTGTAATCATGTCCGTAAGATTATATATAATTCTTCCAAATGTATACTAATTTATTATTGTTTTTAGAAATGTTCCCCTAAAAACAATAGCCTAGAAACAAGATGAGCAGACACTCATCTTGTTTCTACAACAATGAAATTGCCTAATGACATATTTCACAGGATCATGTAGTTAAGCAATGCATCACTGTATTGGGAGGAACAACCATTATTAAACCAGATCGAGGCTTGTTGCTCTCTGTGCCAATACGGATTTTCATGTTAAAAAAATTACAGAAACTTGATCAAGGGCTACAAGTGTAATCATGTCCATAAGATTATATACAATTCTTCCAAATGTATACTCATTTATTGTTGTTTTTAGAAATGTTCCCCTAAAAACAGTAGCCTAGAAACAAGATGAGTGTCTGCTCAACAAGATGAGTGTCTGCTCCTCTTGTTTCTATAGCTATGTAAATCCTAAAGAAAGAAGTGACTCCTAAGGAAAGAAAATTTGCTCCATGGTGCCAGGCTGTGTCCACCCAGACAGAACTAACAGCTTCTTTGACTACAAATGAAATTTATGTTCTGCCTTACTAGGCTCTGTGATACACTGGGAAAGTTGTTGCCTCTTGCTTTTGTCAACTGGAGAAAAATGGAAAGGATTCAAATGTTTGATTCACTTTTGTCTTCAGAAAACCCAAAAACTTTTGGAGATTTAGTCACAGAATCTCAGAGAACAGCTATGCAAGTGGCACCTGACTTTTTGGCCCTGAGAATCCACTATAAGCATACTTTCACAATGATGTGATTGAGAAAATACATGAAGGGCAAATGTAACTATAAATTCAGTTAAGCTTTTAACTGAATTGTTTTTATTACTCCAACAGTGGCGTTTGAAAAATAGTACAAATCTACAGGAGAGATGTTGCTTTTCAAGTCTACAGATAGCACTACAGACCCCTTTATGCAATCACCCAAGGTTCCAAGGACCCCATGTCAGGAGAACTGCTGATTTATATCAAATTACCCATTTTGCAGCTGATGAAATGGAGGCACTGGACCTTGCTTAAGATTCCTCAGTTGAGTTTCTAGAAAAGTTGGAATTGAAATCTGGGTCCCCCGCTTCCCTGTCCTGGGTTCCTTCCCATTTGCCATCCTGCCTCCATTGATTTGGACATGGGATGTGCGTGTACCTGAGATCAACTCTAGAAGGTACAGAAAGTATCCACTCTATGGCCCTTTCTGGCTCCTCCTGGTAAGTTTGCCTCTGTCCATTGCAATGTCCCTGATGTGGGATATTTTCGAGTCTGAGCAAAGCCTCTTCTCTTCTGCTGCTGGTTTACTCTTCCCCTCTGTTCAGGGTACTGTATAACAGCAGCCTTCTAAATACAAAAGAGGAAAAGTCTAGGAAACTATTCTTTTCAGCCAGATGTTTCTAAGGCATTAAAGACCAATTAAAAATTAAGGAATAAAAATAAAAAAGAAATTCAAGAGTAACAACAACAACAACAACAAAAAACTTAGGAAAGCTCTCAGTGGGATGCAGAGTAATATCTAACAGTTTACTAAACCCCTAAACACATTTATGAGCCTCCTCCTGAGGAATAAGACTATAATAAAATAAGCGAAGGGAAATCAGCATTTTTATGACATACTGAGCTCGTGTCATTATTCTTCTTTTGGGCCAAAGTTGATCTTATCTGTGTAAAGTGTCTTTTAGAAAGGTTATCTCTCCCACTCCGCCTCACTTAATAAAAAGTTTGGGTAAGACTAATCAGGAAGTGGAAAGTGAGTATTTTGGAATATTGAGCTTCTACTTTAAGGAACCATCTGAATGTGATGAATTAGATTTTAATCCATGGAACCAGTAAAGATTTAAGTAGACAAGAGAGTTAGATATTAAAAAGTAACGAGCCTGTGGAGAAAAGCATCTATGGAATTCTGTAGAATATATTAGAGTTGGTGAAGATTTAAAAAATATCTGGAATTCATGTTCATTTTGTTTTGGAGACCACGACTCTGAGAAAAGTGAATGGCCAGAAGAAAATGGTGCCCTGTGTTAAAGGACTCAGCCATTGACTAGTGGGGCTCATTGGCTTCTTCATAGCACATGAGTCTGGTTCAATGAAGGGAAGAGAAAGGTATCCAAGATGCTGTACTGGACTCAGCCGCCAATACAGTCTTACAAGTAGTGCAATATATACCTTCTACCATGACAGGAGTATGCTTTTGTTGGGCACCATCCTAAATCTTTACTCTCCAGAAGTTTCTAATTTAGTTTATTGGGAGAGCTCATCCACCAATTGTGAAATATATCTCCAACTTTATAATGAAAACCTCAGGGAATGTACTATATGAAGCTTATAATGAATATCACTGGAAGGCATTTGTAAAATGAGATCAACCCTAGAAGGTACTGACAGTATGCTTTTATAACTTCCTGTATGACTACTGGAAGATTTATGGTTTTCCTATAACCAGCCTTTCAGAGTCAAATAATCTTGTTTCAGAGAAGTGTCAAATGGAAGGTGTTTTACGGGAGATTTAAATTTTATTTCTTGCATTTGAAAAAATCATTTTTATAATTCTGATCTGCAAGATTATCTTTCCTTATTCCCACCTATTTATTGCTGTCCCACCTATTTATTGCTGTTTTTTTTTTTTTTTTTTTTTTTTTTAAAGAAAACGTTACCCCACCGGGTACTCAATCGTATCCGTAGGGTTTTATGTCTCCAGGACCTGAAAACACAGTTCTGTGGAATAAGGCAAATCTGTAGTTCTATTGCCAAAATTTATAATGAGCTATTTTTCTGCAAATTCAACAGACAAGTAGGACAAAAGGTAGGAGAAGAAAACACACAGGATAGAAAAGTCCTGGTTTCCACTTCTTTTTATGCCTCATTTGCCTTGTAAAATTATAACCTTCTGTGGAAGCCATCTTAAGCAAAACTTGTAGTAGAAACGTATTTGGAAATTATTACTGGAATAGCTAGAATCCAAGAAATCTGGAGGTCTTTTTGGCAGCGTATGTGTTCACATGTAAAGGAAAATAAATATTCAGTTTTCTAGAAACTCCTCATGTATCAGGACCCATTTCTTCTTAATGGAAAGCACCATGTTGGGCTCAGACACTCACCCTGCCTTCCAGTTCTGTTTTGCTTCCTTTTGCTAATAGAGTAAAGGAGTCTAGCTTCCCATGTTCATTCTCAGCATCCCTCTGCACCATTCCCCTGGGAAATTTCCCTGTGAATGTGTAAGAGGAAAGTTTTTTAGAGGTTAAATTGGCCTTCCCTCTTCTTTTCCTTCCTCTTTCCCTGGCTCTCTTCCTTCCATCCTTTCACCCATATTCATTGAGCACCACTGTGAGCCCAGCATTACCCTATCTGGGATACAACAGTGAACAGGATGTAGTCTTCAAGGAGCCCACAGTTAGGTGAATGGTTAAGTAAACTAGTCCTTCCACCTAGTGAGAGGAGTTATAACCAGGATAGGGATGTTTAGGAGTGATTGTCCCCAAGTATTGTCTTTTGCTTTCTATCCTGAAATTGGATACTGAAACTTGAACATAGACCTAAATCTGCAAATTAAAAAAAAAAAAAGACTGCCAAAACTTCATAAAGTTATTTTGTTAGGCATACTTAGCAACCCACTAAATGATTGCTTTCACTATCTACTTTAAAAAGATACATTAAAAAAATAGCCTTAACAACATTCATCTGAATGGTTACCTTTTCAAAATTGCATTTAAAATGCCTTTTGGGTGATGACAGGAGCCTAGCCACTCCCTGGGCTCCCTCCCTACAAGCCTGCTCTGGCCCCACCCCAGCAGCCTGATTCCTCCTTTCAGCTGGCTGCATCTCAGGCCTTACTTTAGACCAAGCTTGTCCAACCTGCGGCCCATGGACCACATGCGGCCGAGGACGGCTTTGAATGCAGCTCAACATAAATTTGTAAACTTTCTTAAAACATTATGAGATTTTTTTTGTAATTTTTTTAAAGCCTTTCAGCTATCATTAGTGTTAGTGTATTTTATGTGTGGCCCAAGACAATTAATCTCTTCCAATGTGGCCTAGGGAAGCCAGAAGATTGGACACCTCTGCCTTAGACTTTAAGCTCAATTTTTTTCCTACATGGATCACATTTCACGTATTCCCGGAATAGCAAAATTGTGGCCTCTGGAATCAGATGGTTTGAATGGGAAACTCCTCATTCCTGTCTACAAGCTGAGTCCTTAGTGCCTCACTTAGCTTATCTGTCAAGCAGGGATAACCTCCCTCTTGGACTTTTGTAAGGCATTCAGAACAATGCTCAGTGAAGCGTAGGCATCAATAAATAGTAGGTGTAATTATATCGCTATCCTTCAATGCAAAAATATATGTCCCACAGAATTTCCTCTAACATTTCATATTCAAGTTATTAAGCAATTGGGAAGGCATGCTCAATTTTTTTTTTATAAGTTTTGCTTATCTTTAGAGACCACAAACTCTATTTGTATGAAGAAGGTTAATGTTTCATTATTTTACTGTAGGGATAGTCTTGCTCCTATTTTTCTTCATTTTTACCCACTCTCTTGACTGCCCTTGAACCTATTCTCTATTTTAACAGGCTATATTAAGCAGCAGAGAGGTCACAGAAGTAGGCAGGGTTGAAAAACCAATAGGGACCAATATACATTTGATGCTAGGCCCTGGTGCTACCGGGACTCGACTCTAAAGGGATTATTCCATGAAACAGTCCATCTCCCATCTCCATGCTTTCTACTGGGATCTCCAGGAATAGTTCTTTCTCCTTACTAGTTTCCAGATGTTATATCTTTCATAGCCTTTGCTTTCACTCAGAAAAATAAATATGACTAATGAGTATGTCTCTACTCCTTTGCAACTTCATATGAGCTAGGCTTCAGTTGAGCAGAGAAGTTGACTTTAGGGCCTGTTATACTCACTCAAGAAGTAATATCAGGATCAAAAGAAGATCAACAGGAGGGCAGATGCTAGCTCAATAAAAGGGAAAACTGGTATTTAGCATTGCCCAGCAGAAGAATGGGCAGGGAGTCCCTTGTCACTGGAGGTGTTCAAACAGAGATTCCTTGGTTATTTATTTCTTTTTTTACATTAGTATGTGTAATCCTGAGATAGCAATATTAAGATGGATATAAAAGAATCCAGATAATCTAAAGATAATAATTTCAATTAACAATGTTCATTCATAAGCTAGATAGGAAATAAAACTATCATTAGCTTGTCATTAATCAAAGAAAGATGGTTTCCATAGATTGAGCAAGACATTATGCCAGGGGTTACAGAGGATTCAAAGAATGTTAGTAGACGTTCCCTATTCTGGAATTGTCAGGAAAGGGCAGAAATACTTGAAAAGTTAAGTAATAATACAGAGGTAATATGCCCTTCAGTATGGTGACAGATATATCACTGGTTGATGATTGCATTGACGGTTCAGTAATAAATGCTATGGCATTGGAAAGGCAGAATCTGTGAACTGCAGACCTAGTTAGGGATGGTTTCTTAGTCCACTTTGCCGTCATAACAGAATACCACTGACTGGGTGACTTAAACAACAGATATTTATTTTCTCACAGTTCTGGTGGCTGGAAGTCCAAGACCAAGGTGTCAGCAGGTCTGATTTCTTCTGAGACTTCTCTCCTTGGTCTGCAGATGACTATCAACTTGCTGTGTCTTCACGTGATTTTTCCTCTGTGCACACATAGCCCTAGGGTCTCCCTGTGTGTCCTAATCTTCTGCTTTTTTTTTTTTTTTTTTGAGACAGAGTTTTACTCTTATTGTCCAGGCTGGAGTGCAATGGTGCGATCTTGGCTCACCGCAACCTCCACCTCCCAGGTTCAAGTGATTCTCCTGCCTCAGCCTCCCGAGTAGCTGGGATTAGAGGCATGTGTCACAATGCCTGGCTAATTTTATATTTTTTAGTAGAGACGGGGTTTTTCCATGTTGGTTAGGCTAGTCTTGAACTCCTGATCTCAAGTGATCTGCCCGCCTTGGCCTCCCAGAGTGCTGGGATTACAGGTGTGAGCCACCGTGCCCGACTCCTAATCTTCTGCTCTTACACGGACACAGGTCAGATTATATTAGAGCCCACCTTGACAGCCTATTTTAACTTAATCACTGCTTTAAAGACCCTATCAAAAAACAGTCACATTCTGAGGTACTGGGGGGATAAGGCTTCACCATATACATTTGAATTTGGTAGCTGGGAAGGGGGACCCAATTTAGTCCATAACAGATGACTTCTTGCAGAAGGGGGAGAATAAACTAGATCTGTAAGAAATAGGATAGAGATTAGATGGGTTGAAGGATGGGAGACAGAAAGGGTGGGGAGCACTCAACTCACAGAGATGAGCTAGGTCACACATGGGGTTTCTTCTCTTCTCCTGAACAAGTCTTCAAGATTGACAGACTTGTTTTCTTTTCAGAAGACAAAAGCAAATCGTTCTTGGCAAGAAATGCTCTTAGCGGCCCTGACTGGAGGAGTGACTGTAAGTTGACATTTAAGTGACAGTATTCTTTGGCTTTGTGGAGCCAGGCAGACTAACAAGTTGTAAAAGCATTGCTGGAGTGAGGAGCAGGGACAAAGGCTGCAGCCTGCCTGCCACGTATATCCATGGGACTGTGTGTTGTAATTGATGCCACCCTAACCACTAATGAGGCATTAGAAATGGTCACTCACTGTCAGACAAGTTGTGGTTGATCTCCATGGATGTTCATAATTTGTTCAAACTTCCTGCCCTCTTCTTCTATTCTGACTATAGTTTGTTTTCTGTGTTCTGAAACAGATTGCATTTCATATTGCACCCTCCATTTTCAATAAATTTTGATTTAGTAGGACTTCCATGGTCCAGAAATTCTTTTGAATGTTATAGGGGATGTTTATTGGAGCCTGAGTTTTTATTAGTTTTTCTAAAATGTACTATAACCCCCCAAAAGGCCTTCTCCCCTTCCTTTTCCTCCTTTTTTTTTTTTCCATTCGAATACAAATGGAATCTCTTTACCTGGGAAACTCTTACTTCCCATTGTGTAATTTGAGGACTGTGGCTGGAATACAATATTCTTTTCCCTTTCAGAAGAGTTTATTTTCTTTTGTCTATTTCTTCTCAATTCAGGGATTGATACAACGATCAGTTCTATTCAGATTATGGAAATCCAGCAAATAATAGATCATCAGTATTGCAGTCGAAGCCTCCAGTGCGGGTGGGTAAGCCTCCCCAGCATGCCCTGGTTGTTTCTGGAATTTACCCATGGCTCTGGGTTTTTAAGACTGCAGTGGAAGCTAAAGCTACATGATAAAATCAATGTGTGCTTACATTGCTCCTTAAGTGAAAACATCTTTATTACATGGTGGAAGAAAGAATCATAAAACGGTTGGTATTAGCAAATGTCAATAAGCCACAGCCCCAGTTATTCCAGTCTTCTGGTTTAATGGATAAGTCCAAAGCAGAAAGCCTAGGGAGCAGTTCTGTTCCTGACTCTCTGAGGGCACATATTAAGGGCACAGAGCTGCCAGTTAATTTTATAGACAAGAAAGACATTGTTGCTGATGGCTCCAAGTTACAAGTGAGCTAACTTTGTATATTTTAATAACAAGGGATATCATTATTTTAATTGCTGAAAAAATATAACTTAGCTTTTCAGATAGGAGGGAAAAATCAGATATAGCAAAAGTTATCAGCAACATCCATCTCCTTATGGATTACAGGTATGCCTTATTACCTGTATCAAGGTAATGATACATCTAGAAGCAGATGGTGCAAGTTGCTTCAAAGAGTACAGTGTGCCAGTTGTAGGGATTAAGATTGGAGAGGGCTGGGCGTGATGGTTCACACCTATAATTTCAGCACTTTGGGAGACTGAGGCAGGAGGACTGCTTGAGCCCAGGAGTTCAAGGTCAAGACCAGCCTGGGCAACATGATGAGATCCTATCTCTACCAAAAAAAAAAAAAAAAAATTAGCTGGGCATGATGGTACACACCTGTGGTCCCAGCTAATTGGGAAGCTAAGGTGGGAGGATCTCTTGAGCCCAGGAGGTCAAGGCTGCAGTGAGCTGTGTGTTTGCACCACTGTACTCCAGCCTGGATGACAGAGTGCAACCCGGACACACACACACACACACACACACACACACACACACGGAATGGGAGAGTTATTTTTCTTAGTTTGACAACTGTTTCTTAGGCACCTGCTAGATTAAAGGCAAGGCCTATAACTTGAACTAGTGTCATAAATCCTGTGGGTTTTCAGCCTCATTTCTTTTCCAACCTGATATAACTTGGGCTTTAAGTTGATGATGGCTGTGAGTTATAAAAGTAACATGTATGATGCTTTATGATTTATTTATGACCTCTGTGTTCATGATCTCATTGAATTCTCACAAAATCCCTATGAGGTTGGTATAATTTATCCCTGTTTTGTAGTTAAATTTCAGTTATACTTGAAAAAGTTTGCCTAAGATCACCTGTAAGTGGCAGATACAGATATTAATTAAAGTGGTAAGATGACATAGTGAAGAGTCAGATGATTCAAGTTCAAGTCCTAGAACTTTGACAAGATGTTTATTCTCCCCGAATACCCATTTCTCAGCTATAAGATGGGGATACTTTCAAAACTGAGTTGGGTTGCTGTGAAGCATGCAGATAATGGGAGAGACATCTCAGGAAATGAATTCCGTTTATCTAAGCTTCCCCCAGTCAAACAAACTGCTCCTGATCCCAATGCAGATCTTTCTATTTTAAAAAATACGTTGATTCACTGAAATAACACTGTTCTCAATTTGGTGTGCAAGTTGCACTCTTGTTATTTTCAGCTGTATTGATGTATAATTGACAAGCAAAAATTGTTTATATTCAAGGTGTATAATGTTTCGTTTTGTTGTAATATACCTATCCAATGCAAAATGCAAGATCTTTCCATTTCCTTTACTTTTGCTTTTTACCTTTTTAGCAACTTAGTTTAGCATTACTTAAAAATAAAATGACTGACTCTTTTTCCCATCAATCTGATTTTAAGTTGTTTTTCCATATAATTCAAGGGATGGTCAGGTCATAAGGAGAACTTGTTTTAGAGACCATATGTCTTTTTGCTGGAGTTTTTCATTACAATACGAATCAAAGAAATTTCCCTTTTATCCAAGTATCTCTCTGAAAGGTGTGGGGGGATCTATGTATAAGCACTTGTCTTGCAATCTTCTCCATTACTAAATGGTAATTAGAATTAGAACAATTTTAGCAGATTCAGATTCTGAAAGTACCTGATATTTCCTCCCAGTGTTGCTCAAAAGGGAGTGATTTAGGATAGAAAAAATGTATTTATTATTTCTAGGGGCATTGTTAGTTTGAGCCTTTGCTTCGTTTGTCTTCAGAAATCTGTGTCTCTTTAAAGGGGACTAAAGTCATTTCCTGTGTGAAAAAGGCATTTCCTGGTCTGGGATTAGACTTTCCATCATTTTTGTTTCTGTGTGTTCTAAAAAACTGTAACTTTTTATGGTACATTTTATATTAAGACCTGAAAGAGATCACTCTGAAATTTGACAGGTATATCCTAAAAACAACAACAAAAAATGATACTAGGTTGAACTCAATTTTCTATATTTATTATTTACTATATAATATTTCACTGTTTTTATAGTATATAATGAGTAGCAAAAAGCCCTTTGAAGACTTTCCTACATATTTTGATTTGTGGTTTTATTTTTTTTTCCATAATTAGATCTGGAAATTATAATTACAATATTCCTGTTAATAAACACACACCCACCAATGTCAAGTTCTCTCTGGAAATAAAGTAAGTGCATGGCTGTAAAAATAATTTCATTTTTATCATTAGTTGAATGGCAAGTCTGGATTTACTTCACAATTTGGTCAGTACGTTAAGAGGCAGAAAGCTATCAGTTTGTGTTAACTGATGATGGTTTGAGAGGTGGGCCATTTGAGGGAAAGGTTTTCAAAATGAGGGCTGTGATCATCCGGGCTTTCTTCAGGCAATGGAAGGGCTCTAAACTCTATACCCATGCCTACAAAGTGGGAGTGATTTTGGTTTGATGCTCACAAGCTGTAGACTTCCCCTGACTCTCTCACTTGGTGAGAGAGAATTGGAATGGGAACAAGAGTAATAACATGCCCCCTATGGCAAGATACACAGCTCCTGGTAGCAATGTTAATGCAGATACCACTCCTATTTTCCAAAAGACAGGAAAAAAAAAAAAGGAACCAGAGTTTGGAATTGGACAGACCAGGGTCCAAGGATTCTGTCACTTACTAATTCTGTGATCTTGTACAAGCCACTTATCTTCTTTGAGCTACTGTTTCTTTATCTGTAATGTAAGTATTACATTACACCATAGCACATAGAGCTGCTGTGAGAATTATTAATAATGGTGAAATTAGTAACTGCCATTTGCTGAGCACAGACTATATGCTACACTTTAATACTGGGTCATAAAATCCTCACAGCAACCCTCCCAGTTGTTTTTTTTTTCCCCTAGTTTATATTTTTGAGATGGAGACACTTGGGTTTAGAGTTTCAGAACATGTAAAACACACACACACACACACACACACACACACACGTTCTGAAAATCACAGGTAGTAAGTGATGGAGCTGGGCTTCAAATTCAGTCCATCCTCTCAGCCATCACTGTCCTGTCCTGCCTCCCCAGTGAGATGAGACATGTAAGGACACTGCCCTTTCCTGACATACCATAAGCACACAGTAAATGTTAGCTTTTATTAGGACTACCTTTCCTCCTAAATCACAAAACTCTAACTTAACCTATTCTTATCAGATATTTTAAATGATTATGGCACTTAAAGACCTTCCACTAAAAAATTATGCAATGAGCTACTTTCCATGAAGATAAATGGTTTTTTGTGCCTCCTGATTTTAGTCTCTTCTTTCCATCCCCCTCCACATTTCCTTTCTTCTTCCCTTCCTTTTCTATCACTCTTTCCCTTCCCTCTGTCCTCCCCTCTCTCCCTCTGCTTGCCCAGCTCTGTTTTCCTCCTCCATCCTTCACCGCATGCCTTCTGCCTCTTCCTCCGTCTCACTCAGGCTTCATACTCTTTTTCTCATCCACTTTGCCTCTGTGAGGAACGAATGTCACTCAACCTAACTGCTTGCCTTGGAAAGGTTTCTTTTAAGCAGCTAATATTTTGTGACTCAGAACCTACCATATTTCAAGGCAGAGCAAAAGCTAAATGTACTATTGTTATAAACTGAAAATACTATTATCTAGCATTCCTTGAGTAACCAGAATAACATTTTCTTACTCATTTCTGGCTTTTAGTGGAAGGAAACAAGGTTATATGCTATATCTCCTGAAGTGGTAGATCACCTTCAGTGGCTAAATCAGGACTTTTAGTTTACAAACCATTTTTTATAAAACGGATGACTTAAAAATAACACATACACTTAACCGAGATTGTAGGTTGCCCTAACTCGTGCAAAATGATTGTTCCCAAAGACAAATAGATCGCATCCTCTTGATGATGATTAACGGGCCAACCTCCAGAGAAGAACCATACATTCTTGCAGACTTTCAATAGCTTTAAAATCTAGTGATTTCTGATAGGACTCACTCCCAAACTCCTACCTGTATGTATTTGCCTTTTTATTTTAAACAGTATCCGCCTAGACCCGGAATTTGCAAAATCAAAAATCCTGAAAGCTTCAGATAAATGCAAACTCAGTGCCAGTGGAAAGAGAAGGAATATATCCAAAAATTATAAAAAACACATATGCAGATAAGTTTTGATGTAAGATTAGGTTTTAAAAACTATCATACACAGCCAGGCTAATGTCTGTAATCCCAGCACTTTGGGTGGCTGAGGCATTAGGGTTGCTTGAGCCCAGGTGTTTGAAACCAGCCTGGGCAACATAGCGAGACCTTGTCTCTGTGAAAAAATAAAATAAAAAGAAAAGAAAGAAAAAAAGACACCATCATATACTATTTCAGTAGCCATCTGAGATTGGGTTTCTTTTTGTAGTAATGAGATGTGAGCTGGCCTATTGGCATCAGTGAGCTTCGTGTAATACAATGCCTATTGTGAACTCTGAATGGATTTCCTAGTTATGTTCCCATTAGACCCTCTTCTTATCAAGGTGTATCCTAGCAGAAGCTGGTAACTGCTTTTTCATGTGCTCTTTCTTTTCTTTGTCTCTTGAAGCACAACAGAGCCATTGATAGTCTTCCAGTGCAAATTCACCCTTGGAAATATATGTTTCCATAGTAAAAGGGAAACCAAAGGGATGGAAAGCCACAGAGAAATCTCCCAGGAGATGACACAGGTAATGTTTTCTGCCTCCTCTGTTCCCCGCTGAGAGAGGGATACATTGAACCAATTGCCAGTGTTTTCCCTCCCTGGCCAACCCTAGTCACAGGGTTTGGCTCAGTCTCTTCCTTGTGTCCTTATGAATCTGCCGACTGTTCTAGCAACACCCATCAAAAGCTGTGATCCCGATACTTCTCCTACAGTCATTGAAGAAACGCTTTTTCAGCCTGTACTCTTTCCTACTGACTGTCAAATGCATGTATGAAATGGATCCTCTTTTATTAATTATTTAGGGATATCAGCACATTTGGAGCCTCCCTGTAGCCCTGTTTTCTGACAGCATGTTCCATTTACGCGTAGCTGCACCGGTAAGCTTGCTTTTTCTTTTTCTTTTCAGTGAGAAAGAAATTGAGCAATAAAAAAAAAATCACTTTAACCACAGTTCATTTTTACATTAATCTTCCTCTTTTTTTCTCCTTTCCTGACAGGATTTAGCTGACTGTTCAACTGATCCTTATTTTGCTGGAATATTCTTCACCGATTACTTCTTTTACTTCTATCGACGCTGTGCCTAATTTGTTCAAGTTTGGGGACTTTACCAAAGGAAAATAGGAATACATTTAACAGAAACGGACATCCTCTTGCAACTTCTTTTTTCTTCTTTGTAAAACATTTACGTTTATTACTAAAGGACTTTTTCAGGCTTTAGCTTCCAACAGTTTTGAGACATTAATGAGGAGAATAAAATGTTTGCTGAAACTTGAAATAATGTGATGTTTGATTTTGCCATGACTATGAAGAAAACATTTCCTGGAGGAAGCAGTTCTGTTGAATTTAAAAATACTATTTTGGGTATTAAGGAAGTTGTGAGCTCAAAATAAGCAGGTCTAGCCTCTACTTTGTTTTAATGTATTTTAAAGCTTTTGAAAAAAACCAAAAGGGCCATGTCCACTTTGGCCCACTAAACATAGACTCTTGAGAATGTGTGATATGGTATGTCGAGGAGTTGTGGGGGGTGGTATCTGATGCTGAGCTCGCATTTAGGCAAATTGTCCTCTGTGTGTGTGTGTGTGTGTGTGTGTGTGCGTGTGTGTTGTATAAACACATACACTAGGGTACAGAATGTAGTTTGTTAATAAAGTGGATTCAAGGGAAACAATTGCAACTCTGCTTTGCAATGCTTGATGGACACTAAACTTTCTGTGTGGGTAGGATATGCCCCCTTGTAAAGATGGAAACTCCTATACTCCAGAGTGCACTGAAATGAATCAAACTAGCCAGTCCTAAGCCTGCTTACTCTGCCTCACCTGTTCCTTCCCTCAGATTACCACAATAAAGGGTCATGTCTGCAGTTCCTCCTTCTCCCTCTGCCTCCCGACTGATCCCAGGGCTTCCCCGGGTGGCTCCCTCTGCCATGGCATGCCCCCTTGTCTTGGGGACTGTGAGTAACAAACTCTCTTTTGGATGGCAATTATCTCATCATCTGCTGGTCTTATACCTCAAATTTTCTATTAATATGCTATTTTTTAGAGAATGGAGATCCAAGCCACCCTCACTGTAGTTCCAGGTAACAGGGATGCTGAATGGCTGGCCTTGCCTTATCTTACTGTTGGTCTCTGGGTCAATTAGAATAAGAAATTTGATTTTTTTAGTGTCACAGCAGTAATCAGCAGCAATAAAACATCCTCTTCCTTATTTTCAGCTATTATTAAATATGTGCCATATGGATGGAAATTAATTGTGAGACCCCAACAATTAAGAAAAGATATGGTTCTTGCCCTCACAGAAGGCGTTTAAAAATAAACATATTAACACAAAGGTGGTTTACCCAGTTATTAAGAGCTGAGATTCTGAAACCAGATGGTCTTAGCTGAGTCTTGAGTTCAAATCATGATTGTATCTGTGTATCTTTAGGCAAGTTATCTAATTTCCATAAGTTGCAATTTCTTCACTTATGGAAGATAGTGAATATCTACCACAGACAGGATTAAATGAGATAATGTATGTAGAGCACAGATAGGTTCTAAATAAATGTGAGCTGTTATTGTTATATCTCCATAGAACAGGTTCTAAATAAATGTGAGCTGTTATTGTTATATCTTCATAGAACAGAATAATTATAAAGATTACAGTAGGATTATAAAGGGATTAAGTAAATACTCACACATACATCAAGGCATTTTCATCAACTATAAAAACTAAATTGTAGGCCGGGTGCAGTGGCTCACGCCTGTAATCCCAGCACTTAGGGAGGCCAAGGCGGTGGGTCTCCTGAGGTCAGGAGTTCGAGACCAGCCTGGCCAAGATGGTGAAACCCCATCTCTACTAAAAGTACAAAAATTAGCCAGGCGTGGTGGCGCATGCCTGTAATCCCAGCTACTTGGGAGGCTGAGGCAGGAGAATCACTTGAACCTGGAAGGCAGAGATTGCAGTGAGCTGAGATCACGCCATTGCACTCCAGCCTGGACAACAAGAGCGAAACTCCATCTTAAAAAACAAAACAAAATAAGAAAACCTAAATTGTAGACAGAACCATATATATATATATTATATCGTGTTTATATTTTTTCTTTTAAATTTATTTATTTTTTTTTTAAAGAAACATGGTCTCACTCTGTTTTCCCGACTGGAGTATGGTGGAGTGATCATATCTCACTGCAGCCTTGAACTCCTGGGCTCAAGAAATCCTTTTACCTCCCAAGTAGCTAAGATGACAGATACATGCCACCAATGCCCAGCTAACTTTTTTTTTTTTTTTTTGATGGAGACAGAGTCTCACTATATTGCACAGTCTGGTCTCAAACTCCTGGCCTCAAGTGATTCCCTACTTCCTTGGCCTCCCAAAGTGTTGGGATTACAGGCCTGAACCACTGCACTTGGCCCCCTATATTTGGAAAATTATTTTCCCTTTTATTAATACTAATAGCTTAACTTTTGTAGAAAATGGAATAAGGTAGTTAAATTATTGGGAGGAGTATTTCAGGATTCCTCTAGTTTCTTAGATTCAGATTCAAACTTTTTTCTCCTAAGCTGTAGTGTCAGCCTGTCCTAGCATGACTTAGGTCTAGATACTGCAGTTGTAACACATTTAAAAATGGGATCCCAAGTGGTTGATGTGGGAGAGAGTCCATTAATTTGACTCTTCTCCTAGTAAAGGAATGTTTGTCAGCAGCAGAATTACAAGTGATCTTTTTGGCACATAAATCCCATGTTCTTATTCATGCACTTAAGTTTGGGATAATATGGGGGGTTTCAGATATCTAATGTAGTTCAGAAATATTGCTTATAAAGGGATTTCTGTAAAATCAGTGCCATTTTCTCATTAAATTCCGTTAAAAGACTGGAAGTATTTTCCTACAGAAAAACTTCTATAGGAGATTGTGTTGAAAGCCTTCAGAAAGGAAGGATTTAAGATAGTGAATAGATCTATGGCAACCTGTGACATGCTGGGATTAGTTAGGCCTATTGGGAGAATAGACTTTGCTGGAAGATTCTCTGTATTTGCAGCACTTTTCCAGTTGTGAGATATTCACTGTGGACCACATTGCTTCAGGCCACAAGGCTTTCCTTTTATGCCAGAGAACTTTCTACTCTTTGAGGAATATCCTCAAACTCAAGTAAATTACTTTGAGGAATATCCTCAAACTCAAGGAAATTAAAGTGTCTATAACAGTCTCCTCCCAGAAACTTATAACCCGAGGCTAATCATGAGAAAAACACCAGACAAATTCCAACTGAGGGGTATTCTACAAAATATCCGATGAGCATTCTTTGCAAATGACATAACGTGTCAATCAAGGTCATCAAAAACAAGGAAAGTTGGGCTGGGCACAGTGGCTCACGCTTGTAATTCCAGCACTTTGGGAGGCCGAGGCGGGTGGATCACCCGAGGTAAGGAGTTCCAGACCAGCCTGACCGACATGGAGAAACCCTGTCTCTACTAAAAATACAAAATAAGCCAGGCATGGTGGCGCATGCCTGTAATCCCAGCTACTTGGGAGGCTGAAGTAGGAGAATCGCTTGAACCCGGGAGGTGGAGGTTGCAGTGAGCCGAGATCGTGCCATTGCACTCCAGCGTGGGCAACAAGAGTGAAACTCAGTCTCAAAAACAAAACAAACAAACAAACAAAAAAAACCAAGAACAACAACAACAACAACAAAAACAAGGAAAAGTCTGAGAAACTGTCACAGCCGAGAGGAGCTTAAGGTGACATGATGTTTAAATGTAATGTGGTGTCCTGGATGGGATCTTGGAACTGGGAAAGGACATTAGGTAAAAACTAAGGAAATCTGAATGAAGTATTAAGTAAAGCATGGACTTTGGTTAATAATAATGTATCAATATTGTCTCATTAATTGTGACAAATGCACCACACTCATGTGAGATGTTAACAATAGGGGAAACTGGATGTGAGGTTGATGGGAACTTTGTGTACAATTATCTTTGCAATTTTTCTGTAAATCTAAAACCGCTCTGAAATAAAAAGGTTATTTTTTAAAAACTCGGAAAAAGGTTCATAAGAGCTGGGTTGAAAAATTACATCCTGCTACCAGGTACCATTTGTAATAACACAGGGATAAGTTCAAGCATGAAAAATAGGTACTATATTTAACTTCAGGTCATCAAAGTATCTTAGTTCCCTGCTTTGACAATTATTTAAGGTCAGATTCTGTATAGCAATCTAATTAGGCCCAAATATTAGAGAATATTCTAAGATAATCATATAACATAAATAATTAACAATACGTTTTCATGAGTTCTAATAAAGCTACTCAAACAAGATTTTGAAAGCTGTCAAAATTTTTTTAAACAATTGAACCATAAAAATTCACTTACAGCAAACAACTGGCATGTATGTGTTCAACACTTCAGCATCTAAAAACTAAAAACACTTTATAGTGCTCATAACCCATCTCTTTTACTGTTTTTATTTTAATATATTTTTCCTATATAATTTTTGGATTTCAATATTACTGACAGATTCTTAACAGTATATTATTTGAATCATGAACTAAAATCTTCAAAAGAAAAGCAAAAAATAAAAATAAAAAATAAAAGCAATCTGTTAACAGTTTACAAGTATTTTCACTGATGTCTCATTTGATTTTCACAACACTGTGATGTCGGGAGTGAAGGGAAGTATTCATGTTTCTCCATTATATAATTAAGGAAACTCAGGCACAGAGAGGTTAAGCAAGGATAAGAGGTGAGCCGGGTTTTCTGGTGCTAAATTTCATCCCTTTCCACTCCATTACTTAATTTCCTCTTTGAGATTTGTTTCCTCTCTTCATGACTCTTTGGAGTTTGTGAGACCACCAACTCAGATATTGACCCACTGAAAAGTCACTAACACACTAATGGCTCTAAAGAGATATTCTTCAGGTTTCTTAAGCAGATAGCTTAATTAGAGGCCATTTTGTCAAAATACAGAATAGGGAGTGAACAGAGGGACCTAGATGGGTGGAGTCTCCTATCACCAGCCACTAAGTTACATCTTCTCTTGTGCCAGAGTTTAACAGCTCACTTGAGAATGCTAAATATCAACCTCCATTTGAGAAACACTTCAGTGGAATCTTCACTTGGCAAAACTAAAAGGGTTTTGGTTTTCATTTCTTTAAGGATATGTGTCATTGATGTTTGTGACTGATTCTAAAGAGCCAGTTGAACTCTAAGGAAGCATCCAAGGATTAAGAATCTAGTGAATTTTTGATGAGTGATTGTTTAAAGTTTGAAAAAGTGCAGCTTCAGAGACTTCCAATTTACCA